ATGATTTCCCTCTCTCTCCTTCCCGATTCTCTCCACCCAGCTTATTCCGACCGTTTGGGACCCCTCCAAGACCGGTTGGAAGCTAGATTGAGGATCGGGGAAAGTGTTTGGAGCTCTTGGAGGTAAGTTCTATGGCTAGGGTTTCAATTTTCGTCCCTCCCTTTCATTTCCTGAGGTTTTCCTTAAGTTTCCTTGGAATTTCTGTGTGTTTTAGGGACGAAATTCGTGTGGGGAGCCGATTCTACTATTGTATCACGTTGGATCTTCATTTTTGAGGTAAGGGGAGTACTTTACTCTAGTTATCTTTGTTAGGAATGAGTTTATTTGAATGAATATAGTAATGTGATAGAAATAGAAGATTAGGTTATGTGTATTGATAAATTGTACGAATTGGGTTGAGTCTAGAGGTGCCTGACCTCTGGCATATTGTGTGGAATTGAGTGATATGCTTGTGTTGGTTGCCATTGGATGCAAGGAAATGATGTGTGTATGATAGAAATGTGATTGTGAATAGGTTGAGCATGATGTGTGACGATTGTGATGAAATGGTTGGTTGTAATATGAATAAAATTGTGTTGGCATGCCCTAGATTGAAATTTGAATAATGTGAATGGTTGAAAATGAGTGTGGATGGCATGTTGAATGAATGATGATGTGTTTGAGTGTTTGAACTATGACTGGTTCAGAGAAACACTGGGGGTGTGGAAGATGGGGACGGTAGTAATACCTTGGGGAAGAGGGAGGGAGTGGTGGTGACACCAACAGTGAGCGTGTGTGCACCATAGGCCACACACTCTCCTCCTAACTCGTACATGTTGTATCCATGGAGCGGGAGCTATTCGGGCGACCATCCATAGCATAACTAAGTAAGTCCCTGAGGTTGAGGGCATCAGGAATCTGTGATCACAGTGCCATAGTGAGCGTGGCTACGTGCAGTGAGCGCACGTGTGTTTGTGTAAATGCATGTATTTGTAATTGGTTGTCGGTGCAGTGAGTGCACCTGCATGTGATTGTTGTGTGTGCCTTAAGTGAGATAGTTCAGGTGAGTCTTATGCTTATTTGTGTGCTTATGCTAGAGTAGAGGACTCACCCTTACGCTTATTTTTCAGGTAACCAAGACGATTAGCACCGGGCCCCCTGAAGGAAGGATGAATGATACTACTATAGGACTTAGAAGTTTATTTTGGAAGTTTTAATGTATATTTGAGTCCTGTACCAAGCTATGAAACAAACTTGTAATCATTTCCTTTTAAGAACCACTTTATGAAATTGAGTTTTTGAACTACTTTTTGAATGAAAACCTCTATTTTGTTAACAGTTTTACGAAACTCATTTTATTTAGAAATTATAATTATAAGGTGTTATATAAAACCCAATTTTGGAAATTACAATATAAAAAAACTATCAATTTAACTAAATAATTTGTACATGTGTTGTTTTCACTCGGAGTGTCTCTAATAGTGATTCGTGAGTATTTTTTCAGCTAACTTTTTATTTTTCAAATGATATTAGCATACTTGTGAAAAAGTGAAATAATTTCTATTTGTGTCAGACTAACATTAATTTCAGGAAAGCTGAGTAGAATTTTAAAACTTGTTCAATTTTTAACTTAGTCTTAGATAAATGCTAAAATTATGGGATCCCCCATAAATATAAGCGGTTTTATGAGTCAGTTTTATGAGTTGTATTTTGTTTGTAAAAGTTTGGATACCACTATACCTTTAATTATATATTTTGTTTGCCACTGAAAAAAGACTTTTTATCATTATAACTATTAGTGCAAATAATTATAATTTCATCAGTTAATAATTGATATAATAATTAAATTTTTACTTTTTTTTATCATTAAACCATTAGCGTAAATAATAATGATTAACAGATACAATAATTAAAGATTAATGACACTTTTACTCGATAATAATTAGTAATTTATCAACGCAGACTCACTTTATTTGTATATATTAATCATAAATAAGTTAATAATTTATTTTTGACTCTTTCATTATAAATACTTATAAATATTTTATTATCAATGTTTTAAAATTAGACTGGATATTGAATCGGTCAGTAGACTGGTTCAAGGTTCAATGGTTCAACTAAAGTTGAACAATGGTTGAACTGGTGATATTTAAATAATATTGTTAATTTAAATAAATAATAACTTAAAAAACATAATATTTGTGACTACATATTAAAAATTAAAAATTACACATCATTATAAGTTTTAAACATTCAAAATTATGTAATACTCTTACTTTTGTTATTTATTAATATTGCATTTTATATTAGTTATTTATGCATATTATTTGAAATTAGGAGAGTTTTAAACGTGAGAGCTGTAGGATCTCTCGTTACAGCGAGACAAATCATCCAGGTTCTTTTGAGCGTTTTCCTTGTAGTAAGAAGTGGATAAAGAGGATTCAACAACCCTCTCTCTGCAGCGAGAGATTCTCGTTGTAGCTAGTAATTCTCGCTATAGCCAGAATGACAGACAGTAACAAAAAAATATTGTTTAATTTTTCGCTGTAATGAGAAAATGGCTCCTTGTAGTAAGAGATAGCTTGCTGTAATGAGAATGTCGTAAGTTGATGGCTATTTAAGAATTTTCAACCTAGAAAACTTGAGTTACAATCTAAGTTACGAAATTCTTGTCATTTTCTCTAATTTCTCACTCTTTTCCCTCGTAAAATCTCCCTTAAACCTTACTTAGGGATGGGGAAGGAACTTATCCACACAAATATTTTTAGGGAACAAGAATGATAGACTTGCAGAGAACCATTAGGTTGGTGTTTTGTAGATAATAGACTTAATTATGTATTTAGAGAGTGACAACGGTTGTATCACTATAAATTTATTGTAAATAATAAACTTGGTGATGTATTTACCTTAGAGATGAATATAGGGTATAGTATCCCTTTTGATTACCCAGCTAGTAGTAGGATTAATCATATGCTTAACTTGTGTGTGTGTGTGTATATATATATATATATATATCGAGGAACAGTCCAAATGCTAGACGTGGTGAATTACGTGTATACCTTTCATGATCATGACCAAATGGGTAGACCACGTACCTTTAACCGGGAGTTGGAGATTGGCATCGAAGTTGTGGCTGATTCTCAAGACCTCAAAGAATATGAGGACTTGACTGCAGAAGAACAAATAGAGATAGAGGGTTGGTTCAGGATGATGGTTAGGACCAAATCCTCAGTGTTTTGGACATAGATAAAGATTGCTCTTAAGACTTAATTTATTTTGACCTTGTAATAATGTATTCTAAGTCCTAATGTACTTTTATTAACCATTTGTAAATATTAAACTTTTGCACATAAATTAAATTCAGTACTTGTATACTTTCTATTATTTCAGTATAAGTGTGATCGTTAAGGTACAATTTATCTTTCCTTATTTTTAATACCTTGATAAATTTTGTGTATGAACTTAGTTACAAGAAAGTTTGAATGTTATTGTATATTCAAAATACCTAATTTATGATAAATTTATTTTATTATTATGCCTCATAAAAAATTATATATATTTTCAAATAAAAAATTAAGAACGTTACAAATTATACATAAAGTAAACATTATCTTAGTTTAATATTAAAAAACAATATCCACTAATGATAAAAATATTTAAAATAAAAAATAATCAAACATTATACTCAATCATCATAATATTTATTAAGGTTGAATTCATTAAATTTCAATATGTTAGTATCACTAGATCCACCACCGCTTCTACTTCCAAATTGAAAATCACTTGCATCTAACAAGGAAAAAAAACTTAGTTCTAATATAAATGTACGATATTTTACAATATGAAGCATATTGAATACAATTATAACTTTCATTATTTTTTTTTTATGATTCACCGAATATTGAAACTACATTATCTATATAAATAACATTCTTAATCTCAATATCATCAATACCAAACTTAGGAGGTGCTTCTTCAGTTACCCAAAAATCAACTTTGTCAATAGATTCATAGTCAAATATCAAATAATCAAACAACAAATTATTTATGCTAAAAAAGCATTTATAACCAGAGGACTGCCAATTACCATTTGGGCCGATTTTAACAGTTTTTGACTGGTTTTGTATGTAGATAGCTCTCTAAGTCCATATAGATTGGTCACTAAACTAGTTCGCTGTTTTCCAATTAAACCAACTGGTCTGGTTTGATTCTGACATCCATGGTTATTATGCATGATTAGGAGTGATATCTATTCTCGAAAAAAAAAGTAAAGATCATTTTCTATACGATGAAATACACTTATCCAAAAAGGTAAATTTGACATAATATACTATTTGATTTACTATTTTACAGTTAATATCGCTACGTAGAAATGACATTATTTTAGAAAGGCCTAATAGAATTTTAAAACTTCTTCAATTTCCATCTTAATCTTACGTAAACACTACTATTAAGAGACTTTTTTTTATTATTATACGAAGAGTTTTATGGCTAAAACAAATTTATGAGTTATATTTTAGATTCCTCTGTACCTTTTAGTTATATATTTGTTTGCCATTAAATTTTTTTTTTATCATTATAACCGTTAGCATAAATAATTATGATTATATGAATTAAAGATTGATGTCACACTCTTATCAGATAATAATTAGTATTTTATCAACGCATACTCACTTTATATATATTAATCATAGATAAGTTAATAATCTATTTTAGACTCTTTCAGTAGTATAATTGTATTCAAAATTCTTCTAAATCATTTTTTTTATACTCCTATAATCAATGAATAAAATTGATTCAACCTTTTTCATATATCTCTATTTAAAATTAAAAAAAAAATTTGTTATTGGCTTTAATCTCGTGACTAATCATTGTTCACAAGAAAAAGAATAACGAATTTGATTTTTTTTTTCAATTTACTGTGATGTACGGAAGAAAGAGCCTCAACGAAAACTTTTCATTTGTTGTTAATATTATTGTGGTGGCATTGCTTTGTCGTTTTATTCCTCTTCCTCTTCCTCTTCCCTTTGCTTACACAACACTGGGAGGTAGAATAGCAGAAGAACTGAGGAAGGTGAAAAATGGAAGTGGGCAACAAATACGCAGTGATAAAGCGTCACATTGAAGGAGCACCAGGTTTATCCAATTTTGAATTAAAAACTGAGGCTTTTTCTCTGTCAATTGCGGCAGGATCTGATGACATCATAGTGAAGAATCTGTATATCTCTGTTGACCCGTATCAAATTAACCGCATGAAGAGCAAAAGCCCTTCCCAGAATGTTATAGCGAGCATAAATCCAGGAGAGGTAGCAATGTAGAATTATTTTTTCACCAAGTATATGCTAAGTAATTGGTACTACTAAGTTTATGTTCATTGAATTTATTATGTAAGCATTTGTTTATTCACTTTCCAGCCAATTAAAGGCGCTGTTATTGGCAAAGTTGTGGCTTCTGGGAACGCTAAATTTAAGAAGGATGATTTGGTTATGGGAAGTTTCACTTGGGCAGAGTACAGTTTGGTTAGAGAAGGAAGCATAATAAACAAAATAGAGTCGTCTGAATTTCCACTCTCTTATCATCTTGGAGTTTTGGGTAATTATAACAGTTATCATTTTGCATCATGAGGCAAAGGATATTTATCAAATGCCAATGCAATTTATTTAGTCCCGATGAACAAAAAAGAGACAAATCTACCCTTTAATAGGAAGGCTACCCATGTTCTTTTAAGGTCAAAGTTAATTTCTGATTTTAATAAGTAAACATCAGTGACAGTACCTAAATTGCCCTTCTTTGAATGCAGGGATTAGTGGACTGACAGCCTATGTTGGTCTTTTCGAAGTGTGCAGACCCCAAAAGGGTGAAAAGGTTTTTGTTTCAGCAGCCTCTGGATCAGTTGGAAATTTGGTAGGCCAATTTGCAAAAGTTTTGGGTTGCTATGTTGTTGGTTGTGCTGGCAGCCAAAAGAAGGTGAGGTTTTTAGGAATTTACAGCCCTTTGGAACCTAACTTGGGCTTAATTCTCAACAAAAACGCCTAATCCATGAGTAATTTGTCATAGGTGGCATTGCTCAAAGAAAAGCTAGGATTTGATGAGGCATTCAACTACAAGGAAGAAACAGACCTCAATTCCACTCTTACAAGGTTTGCTAGTGATGGCAGATCATAAAACTCATGAGCCTATTTCTGAATTTAAATAGCTTGTTTTGTTTTATATTGTCTCAGGTACTTTCCTGATGGAATTGATATATATTTTGACAATGTTGGGGGTGAGATGTTAGAGGCAGCAGTTGCTAATATGAAAGCATTTGGAAGAGTGGTTGCTTGTCGAGTAATATCTGAATATACTAATGCTGGAAAGAGAGCATCTCCAAACATGCTGGATATTGTGTATAAGAGAATCACCATCAAAGGATTTTTAGTATCTGACTTCATCAATTCTTTTCCTGATTTTTTGGCAAAAGCATCACATTACCTTCGTACTGGCAAGTTAAAGGTTATTGAAGACATATCAACGGGTGTGGAGAGCATCCCTTCTGCTTTTGTTGCACTTTTCAATGGCGATAATGTTGGAAAGAAAATTGTAAAATTAGCAGAAGAGTAAACAAGGAGTAAAACGGGTGATGAGTAATAATATCTAAAATTTTATTTATTTCGTGTCTGCAAATTAAAAGTGTGCGATCGATGAACTTAATATTGTGTTGTTTGCCAAACTGGATTTAATGAAATATGTTTTAAATCTATATGAATTGATTGAAAATGCTTTGAAATTACAGGTGTGTTAGTTTGAATTTACATTTGAATAATTATAGATTTATATTTTGAAATATGTTGAAACACAATTCCAAATATGCTTTACACTCTTATCCTTAACACAATCCACAGTTCTATACTTTTTCATCCGCAATGTGGACCATAATATTTAGCTTAACGAAGAGAAGGAGCAAATAATTTTTTGTGTCAGCGTTCTTTTTAAAGATTAGATTTTGTTGTAGACTAATTCAAAGTATGAATTAGATTTGCTACTTAGTTTTGGTTGTTAGTTATGTGATGTACAACTCCATATATAAAATAGCTAAGAACACTTGTATTCTTTACGTGTACGTGATTCAATAAACATTTTAATTTATCACTCTCTCCCTCTGTTCTTTACAGTTAATTCATATTGTGTGCGTCTTTATTCCAACAGATTTGACATTAAAGCCTTGTGAGGTTCTGGGAAATTGAGATTAACAACCATGATTGAGAATGCAAGATTTCCGATGGCAAGAATTGGGAAAGATGTATTGTGTAGATGAAGGTTTTATTTAAATTTTAAGATGTGCTTGATATCATGCAGTCTAGCTATCAATAATTGGGTGAGAATCCCAGTGAGGCTTAGAGGGTTGGTTACAACTTACAAGGATGCAATGAAGAGAAATAACAAAGCACTATTCATGATTCATCACAATGTGGATGCAAGCATTTTTGATTAAATTTTTAAATTATCCACAGTGAAAAAAGCTTGGGACATATTATAGAGATTCTTTACTAGTGGAGAAAAGATTAGGAAGGTGTGTCTCTAGTTCTTGAGAAGACAATATAGTTTGTTACAAATGGAAGATGTAAAAGGGTAGCAGGTTATTTCAATAGGGTACTCAGTCTCACAAATTTGATGAAAGGATGCAGTGAGCTGATAAAAAATGGGATGATAATTGATAAGATCATGCGTACTTTGAATCAAAATTTTGATCACATCTGGTTGCTATAGAGGATTTTAAAGATGTAGAGGATATGAAGATTGAAGAATTTCAAGGTTCTTTATAGGCACAAGAAATGAAGTTAATTCAGAGGACTCAAGTGAGGCAAGCAGATCAAGCTCTGCAATCACAGGTGAAAAAAGGTTTTGAAAAGTGGAAAGGAAAGAAAGCAAAGAGAAAATTGTACAAAGGGAGTTGAGGTTCTAACAAAGACAAATCTAAGGTTGAAGATAAACCCGAATCTTCAAATAGAAGAAGGGATCTGGTAACAAAAGTAGCAAAAAGAAGCAACATAAGAGGAAGATTCAATGCTTCAACTATGGAAAATGAGGGCATTATGTTGATGAGTGTTGGCATGGAAAGAGAAAAGGAAAAGAGAAACAAAAGATGAATGGTCAAGAGGTAAATGTGGCACACGATGATTTAGATCCAATTCTTCTTATGGTTACAATCGATGAAGGAAACTCTCCTTCTGAATCTTGGTATTTAAATATTGGATGCTCTGATCACATAGCAAGTCACAAAGAATTTCTCATTGATCTTGACACTAGCAGAAAGACTAAGGTCAATTTAGCTTATAGTAAGACTTTGGCCGTTGAAAGTGTTGGGAATATTGTGATAAAAAGAAGGATGCCAAGCAACAGTAATTGAAAGTGTGTTGTTTGTACCAGGGATGAAATGTAACCTATTAAGTGTTGGACAATTGGTTGAAAAAAGGGTTTTCAGTTACAATAAAACATGATTTCCTTAATGTAACACCCTCAATTTTGCTGTCATTGTATGGAAAAATAGGAATTTTGGTGCAGGGTATCTCGCTAACCCTCAATTTTGCTACCATTGTATGGAAAAATAGGGATTTTGGTGTAGGGTATCTATCTATAGCGAGAGACTCTTGCTATAGCTAGCATGACAGATAGCAAAGAAAAATTTTGTCTAATTTTTCACTGTAGCGAGAGATAGCTCATTGTAGCAAAAATATCACGAGTTGAGGAGTATTTAAAGGCTTTCAACCTAGAAAACTTGGATTACAATCCAAAGTTTTGACCCCTCCTCTATTCTCTCCGACCTCTCACTCCCCCTTCTTAGAAATTCTCCTCTAAACTTCAATCTTCCTTTGAATCTGGGCTTGGGAGTTTCACCATTCAGATCCAAATAAATTTCTTGGAGATTAGTTCTCCAACTTTATTCTTATTTCTTTATTTTATCCGATCTAAAGTTTTGTACTTTGTGATACTTAAGAAAACTTTAACCCTTAAGACAATATTCTCTACCGGGACGTTGTGCCTCTCCCTTGGATCTCTGAGAAAACTCGATCTGAGAGACCCATTTCCAGGTAAAGGCTATCCCCGAACCCTAACTTCTCTTTGGCATTTTAATTTGAAAACACTAAGTTTTCTACTAGAACCCTAATATTTTCTTAAAATCTAAAGTGTAGAAATAGGGAGCTGGACATGAAAAACCTATGATTATTTTCAGAACTAACTAAATATAAATTGTAGCAAAAGCTCTAAAAAGAAACATTTTGAGAATATTAGGATTTTACTAAGGAACATGGTTCAGAGGTAGTAAGATTACTATTTTACATTTTCAGAATAATAAATTTACAGTGAATATTGGGTGATGCCAGACTTTAGGATAGATGACTTTGTTATTACTGAGAAAGTGTGTATGTTGGATTGTACGATTGGGTTGAGTTTAGAGGTGTTCGACCTTTGACACATTGTATTAGCTTGTGTAGTATGAAATTGTTTGATGATATTTCCCTATTAAATGATATAATGAATATATATGTTGTTTGATAGCTAAAGTATGTCAAAATAAGTGAAACTATGTTATTGATGAAAAGTGTTTGACTATTCATAAATGAAGAAAGAGTTCTGTGTAGGAAATAAAATGATATGACATGATGGTGAAATTATGAGAAATGTAATTATAATACGTGAGATAGAATAGATTGATGGATGGGATTATGATACAGGTATTGTGGTACATCAAATGATATACTCATAATACATGTATTCTAATACATTAAGTTATACGTCAAGACTCATGTTGTATGACACATTGATCTATGAGAAAGATATGAAAAAGAATGAGAATAGTTGAGAAATATCGAGAAAAGAGAATAATATGAGAAATGATGAGAATAAGTATAGATAGTTACAGAGATACACTAGGGTTATAAAGTCTGGAGAAGATTTGAGAAATCTTAAGAAAATGAGGGTGGTGAATGCTAATTGTAAATGGGTGCACAATGATTTGTTGAAAGAAAAAGCATTCACAGGTCACACACTCATTTCTTGACGAGACTTTTGATTATACCTTTGCTAAAAAGGGTCGAGTCGACACATGTGCATCCGTGTTGCTGTGGCTAACTAGTAGCTATCTATGCTATGAAGTTCTCAAGGGATCCTAGGGACAATGAATATGAAAGTATAATGAATATGAAATTGTGATGAACATGAAGTAGTATAGAAGTTGTATGATTATAATATATGCATTGTAACATATAAATTAATGTTGTTATGATATATGTGTTGTAATACATCGATAAGTGCAATTAGGACACATGTATTATGACATATTGATTGATGTGATAGAATACATGTATTATGACATACAGATTAGCATAAAAAATGCATGTCATAAATAATTACAAAGATGATTGATTTGTTGGATGTGTGCTCCGCTTTGATAATGATTGTGTGTTTCAAGTGTTATTGTTAATTGATGTGTATTATAAATGCTTTAGCCAATATTTTCTGTACTATATAAATTTTATGTCAAATAAAGGGATTTAGTGGGGTGAGAAATACTCACCCTTACTATAACACCTTAATTTTATTTTCCAAATAAATAAATTTTACAACAATTGGGAAAAATAAAAGTTTCATTCAATGGTTCCCAATACATAGCTCAATAAAGTATTTCAAAATAAGAATAGATTACAAATTTTGGATCAAATCATTGTTACAGGACCTATCAATACATCATAGTTTTCAAAATAAATTCTCTAAGTCCTATAACAGTTTCATCCACCCCTTTCATTAAGCCTGGTGCTGATCATCTTGGTCACTTGAAAAATAAATATAAGGGTGAGTCCTCTATACTATCGCACACAAACATAGAGACTTACCTTGCATGTTCCAAACATTACATAATATAATTTAAACCTTAAACCATAAGTCAATTCATCACAACAACACGCACATCAAATCACATATCGATCATTTACACACGGGTACACTCTGCACCTTCAATCAATTTACACATATACGTGCGCTCACTATACGTTAGCCATGCTCACTGTGGCACTGTGATAACAGATTCCTGATGTCCTCAACCTCAGGGACTTACTCAGTTTTACACCATGGATGATCGCTGGTTAGCTCCCGCTTGTGGTGCATCCAGGCTTACTGTTGGTGTCACCACCACCCTCTCTTTCCCAGGGTATTTCTATGGCCCCCATCTTCCACACCCCAGTGTATCGCTTTAACCATCCATAGTTTCCAACCATTTCAAAAACAATCACAATCACAATTAACATGCCATTTCCACACACTTTCACCCATATTCTTAATCATTTATAGTGTTTATGGTATGCACACATATTTTCAATCACATTACATTCAAACCCCCAATTTCTATCACAATCCTATTGCAATCAAGTCACTCCATCACATGCACAAGATCCATTATCCATCACCCACAACATCCAACATCTATCACATTATGATTACCTCAAAATGAAGACCCAACACGAATTAATGGTAGAAAATGTCCCCCACCCAGTATTTCATCCTAAATACATGCAAGAATTTCATGAGAAACTGAAGAAAACCGAGAAAGGATGGAAAAATGCAAACCATAGCTCTTAAACTTACCTCCAAACATTTCAAGCGTGATTGTACCCTTCAATCTAGTTCACAAACG